ATAGGAGGGTAGGAAAGTGGGAGAAAAAGGAAAACGAGCTAAAAACCAGACATTTAGTTTAAGAACTAAGAACTAGCAAGGAATCTGACTGGAATATAAATTCTATTTTAAAATGTCTATACAACACTTTAATTAGAAAAGGTAATATACATAAAAATATTATATTCTCTTTGGAAATCCAACACTACAGCTGTCTTTTTTTTTGCATGTGTGTGTGTAGCACTGGGAAACTGAACCCAAGGACTCTACTGAGCGGCATCCCCAGTCTTGTTTATATTTTGCTGTGAGGGTCTTGATAAGCTGCCTGGATTGGGCCTGGACTTGTGGTCCTCCTATCTCAACCTCTCTCACAGCTAGTAGCACAGGTGCGCACAACCATGCCCAGGTGAAATGAAACACTACTGCCATCTCTTAAGCTAACTTCAATTTAGTCACATAAAAGTCAAAACATGAAAGGATCAGCACTTCATTTCAAAAGATTCTCTTTAAGATATCAAAAGATTTTCCATCATACAAATTGCTAATTAGGTAACCTCATTATAGGACAGTGATGGCAAACCTTCTAGAGACCAAGTGCTCAAATTGCAACCCAAACCCACTCATTTATTGAAAAGTGACAACACTGCAATTAAACCTGAATACTGAGACATCAACTTAGAAAAAAAAAATCATACATTAACATCTTTTGTCTTAAAGAAAAATACAGTAACATATGTGCCATAGATTTGCCACCGTTACAGGGTAAGCTTATTATAAATTGAGTCACAATTAGAACTGAGTTTGTTTTTAAAGATTTGATAATAGGAAGGTGATGCTATATCTAGTCCATCCCTCATGTAAGTGCAGGCAGGTACACGCACTTATTATTTTCTTGATCCTGGATTATACACACTTGTTTTGAGTATACTACTCTAATCCAGATGCAAATGAGCATCTCAGTAATGGTACTATTTCTGATATTACTACAATAATGATTCAGATCTAGCAGGTGTTTTGCTTCCACTCTTGAGGAAAATAAAGGGCAGATAGTCTCTAAATCTTCCACAGTGCTTTGGAAGTTCTTTTATTTTGAAATTCACTATACTTCCAAAAACTAAAAAAATTCAAACAATGTCTCACTGTATAGCTGAGCCTGTCCTTGAACCCACTATCTAGCCCAGGCTGGCCTCCAACTCATGATTTCATGATGCCTCAGCTTCCCAAGCACTGTGTGACAGGCATGTCACCATGACTAGCTCTGGTGTGTTTTTCTGAATAAGAAAAAACCAAAATGAATTTTACATAAACCAGCCTGCTCCTCTAGTGCTGACACAAGAGGAAAGTGAGCCATCCTTCAAACCCTGGAACGTCCCTTTACACCTCACTTTTCTTCCCCTCCCTGTCCCTCACCTCCAAGAGTGGAGACCGAAGTCTTCTGGGAAGTTGTGTAAGCAGCGCATCTAACCCGGAGAAGCTGAGCTTGAGTTATGCTCCCATGGATGTGGACAAAAGGCTAAGCTGAGAGACAGACTGTTCCGAATCTATTAGTATCAGAGATTAACACTTTTTCCTTTCTTCTGCATTCCCTACTGGCAAGGGAGACCCAGACCTGAAGCCAGAAACTTTGCTCATCTTCCAGACTCACAGTCACTCAGCCTCCAAATACATTCTACTTTTCTGCAACTGTTCCTTCCCTGGTGCATTCATGTTCATTGCTTTAGTTTGGGATGGTCCTCTCTTACCATGACCATTTTAACAGTCATGGATAGGGGTTCCTGGGATATCCTTCTGATCCATCTACTGCACTGCTAGAGTGACCCTTTCACATGAAAGTCTTAGCTCATGTCACTTGGACATTAAGCACAAATGGCTTCTTAGTCAGCCCCTGCCTATCTTTCAGCCTCACGCCTGGGGTGCAGCTCCCCACAAGCTATGCTCCTCACCTCGCCGCCTGCTGTTCCCTAGTGTGTCTGAGTGGCCTACCCCATGCCTGTCTGGATGTGGCTCAAGTCTCTTCCAGGAAGCTTATCCTGAACCCTCCTTCTCCTGTCCTCAGCTCTGGTCTTTTCAGGAAATCCACCTGCAATCAATGTTTCAGATTTGTTCCTGGTTTTATAAAAACAGGAGAGTGATCGCCTGACTGACTGCCGATGGCACGGACACAGAGGCAGATGTTTGCACACCCATTCATTCCAGGCCAGGATGGCAGAGTCCAGACAGGCCTGCCTGCTCTGGACACACAGTGAACCGTGCGAGTGCTACTCCACACAGCACAACCTGGGAACCACAAGCTTCCATACCGAGGCCATGTCACCTTAAAAGGGACACTGCCCACTTTCTTTTGTGGAGTCAGGGGGCCACACACAGGATCTGTTTGGCAGGAGTCTTTCTGTCTGGGAATCACCCAGGAAGGAGTCTGGATCCACCTCTGTGTTCAGGGACCAGCAGCTTCACTCTCAGTAAGGTGAGACTGACATAATCACTGCTCACCATGCAAATGCTTAGTGCTCAATTAAATCTACAGCTGTCACTGGTGATAATGTAACCAGAGGGTCAAACAGACTTTAAAAATTAGGACTTTTTCCTTTTAGAGACAGGCTTCTTCTCCAGCTTCCTCAGCTGACAGTATCCTCTCCTCAGCTCAGATGAATGGACAGGAAAGTAACACCTCTGTCAGAAAGTAACACCTCTGTCAAATTGTAACACAAGGTCAAGGGCAACAACCCCCACAGGATGTGTCTCAAAGGACACATGCAGCAGCTAGGAAGGAGAGGACTGCTGGGGAATTTCCTTGGCTTTTGTCTCATCGTATTTCTTTCCTGTCTTCCTTACTACAAAAGCCCTTGCACTTCTGAATATGGTGAGATGGAGATTGGAGTTAATAGAATAAATCTTTTTCCTTTCCACCAAAATAAATGGCTTTCTGTGTTTCTTGGGTGGCAGCAAGTAGTATAAATCTGAGTGCTGGTAACATTAAAATTAAGGCAGCTGGGTGTGGTGATGCACACCTGTACTACCAGCACTTGGGAAGCTGAGGCAGGAGGATCGCTGCGAGTTTCAGCCCAGCTTGGACTACATAGTGAGTTCAAGGACAGCCTGAACTAGTGAGACTCTGTCTCAAAAAACCAAAACTCGCTGGGGATTTAGCTCAGTGGTTCCACTGGCTGCCTTGCAAGCACAAGGTCCCCAGTTAGATGCCCGGTACCAAAAAAAAAAACAACCCAAAACAACCAAACAAAAAACATTAAAGCAGATATTTCTGGGGGTCCAAATGACTCTTTAGATACTCAGTGGAGTAAAGAAATAAAACTTTCATAAAGCATGGTCTCCCAGATCATTATATTTACATACACTTTCATGGCCCTCTACTTTCTTTCATTATTTTCATTTCTGATCATTTAAAATAACTGATTCTTTTGCCCAATTTAAGGCAAAATCTCCCAATTCACTGTCAGCATCTCTCTACTTTCTTCCATATTCTCTATAGATGATTAAAGTACTAGACTTGGGAACTTATTTGCCTAACTTTCTTATCAAAGAATGTGCCATTTATAGCTTAAGTTTTAGCTTCCATACATTTTCTATATTACTGTGTTCATATCTGTGGCAACGGACACTTGTTAAGGAAGAATTCAAACAGCACTACTACAAATGTTTAAAAGAGCCAAACAGGGGCCAGGGATTTAGCTCAGTGGTTCCTCCACCTGCCTCGAAAGTGCAAGGTCCTGAGTTCACTCCCCAGTACCAGAAAAAACAAAACAAAACAAAACAGACCACTTCTGCTTACCCATAGGACAAACATACTTTTAAAGTATTAAAACTGTTAAAAAATTTTTTTGACACACTGAAAAACTAAGATTTTATAATTAAGGGAATATTTACACAATATTACACAACTTTCAAAATGGATTGGGATTTTTTTTCCAAACAAAATATGCAAATTGAGCATAGCTTTTTAAATTAGTAGCCTTTTAAAATTGTATTTTTTAATCAAACATGATGGATGAAGTCTGACTCATGATAAAACACAAGGTCAAGGGCAGGGAATCACTGCCCTAATTGCACTGATTATGTGTGATTCACCTTCTGGACCTCCCTGTCTGGTAGATATGCCTAACTGCCAGGCAGATATTTATAAAGAATTTCTCCTTACAGGCAAGCATTTTCATGTTTATTATTTTAAGGACAGAGAACAAATGTAAGGTGAGAAAACTACTGCATTAAAAACAAAACAATCTGCAGTTTGGCATTAAGAGAATTATAGGTAGAAGCTAAAAAAGCCCTGTACAATTTAGGGAAAGTTCTGGCAGAAAGTAAGGAGACCACAAAGACTTCAAGACACTGACAGTGGAAACTGCAAATGAGTCATAATAATTAGCACAAATAACTTAAAAGAGCAATGGCCCCATAGATTCCATGTAGAGATTACCATATTATTGTTTAACCTTTTCAAGACATTATGCTTTTTATTAAGTATCCATACTCATTCAATAATGCTGAATATAAGTGTGTTCTCATTTAATTTAACCCATATTAAGATATTTTATCAAGTATTTTCTTTGTAAAAGAAAAAATATTTGATAGCTTATTTAACAACATATCTTGATATCCTTATTTAGCAATATACCCTCTAGTATTTCTAGTGTATTTATCATGAACACCCCTATACTTAGTCATGTTGTCTATTGTTAAGAATCACTACAGTTTCTCTGATGTTTTAATATAGCAAATTAATAGCTTTTCAGATGTGATGTGACCTCAAATGTTCTCTTTGGAGGCTAAAGACAAAGAACTCTAAACAAGCACAAGCTTCTTTTGAAAGGAGACCTCAAGAGATGGGAAAAATATTTTTGCCAGTAAGCCAGGCGGGGGCAGGTGGTGTACACGGGTAGGTAAGGATGAAAGGTTTCCAGGATTATTAACAGCTCAGTGTACACGTTCCTCCTGCGTCTCCCTCACCCTCCCTGCCCCACAGCAACTAGGATGCTGGCAAAACACTGGCGGACAGGATCTGACCATACCTTCGTGGGTAGGCTCTGGGTCAGGTGTGAGTGAGATGTCATCCAGCTCTCGAAGGCAGAGCCATTCTCCATCCATAGACACTCGGAATTTGCAAAGGTAGATGGTCTCCATGGCAGCCTGTGTGATCTTGTCAGTGGTGGGGGTTGGCATATCAGTGGGAGGCGTCAGAGCAGACATGATGACTCAGCTGGGACCACAACACACGCGCGCGCGCACACACACACACACACACACACACACTCTCTCTCTCTCTCTCTCTCTCTCTCTCTCTCTCTCTCTCTCTCTCTAAATAAGAACTCCTCACAAAAAAAAAAGCCAAATCCAAAGCTCTGAAATAAAGCTTTCAGGAAAAGGGGTGGGGAGGTTTAAAGACACCACAAAGCAAAACACTGTATGGAAGCAAGTGCTCAAGAGAGAAAATTCTACCCTATCTTTCCTCACTGACAGTTCCTACCACGCAGCAAAACAGATGATGACGATCTTCTCCCAGTGTCCTCTCCCTCTATCTTCCCTTCCCTACCCTTTTTCTCAGCGGAGCTTTCAATCCAGCACAGCCAATGCTACCTTAGCTGGCTTTAAAAAAATTGGCCTTGGCATGAATAAGTGAAAAAATCCTCTATATTGGTGCAGAAAAAAAACACCAAAGGAAAAAAATGAATGAAAAATAAACCCGTATTTTCAATTAGCTTTGAAAAAAAATTTGAGACTGCAGAAATCACTTCCAGGCTCTGCTCCGATGAGCCAGGATGCTGAGTTCCAACAGGATTGGCTGTGCACAGCAAGCAGGGTGTTGACCAAAATGGCTGACTAATGAGCCTGACTGAGGACCCAGGCCCCGTGACCAGGTTCCCAGGATGCTTCACAGATGCTGCTGGTGTGGAAGAGCAGTGAGGCTGCTCCCTCTCTCCTGCACAACCCACTTCCAGACCATGCTAGTCAAACTGTGAGCAGACATAACACGATGCACACATCCTCATCCATTCCCCTCACTATGCGATACAGGGCTGAGTAACAAGAGGACTATTAATAATGGGGAACACTGCAGCAGAGATGGTGAGAAAGGCAATTAGATTAATTTACTAGGCACATAATTTACCTCTTTTGTCCTCATAGATACACCTATTAAAATTCTTTACCACGCTAAAGACAATATTTTAAGAAAAGCTAAAAGCAGGTTATAATTTAAGTATCTTATTCTCAAGCATTTATAACTTCCCTTTCTGAGGTAGAAAGAGCTCTTTTTCAGACTGGGCAGAGAAAGACAAAAAACCTTGAAGTTTTTGAAATCCTTTCCTGATTAACCGCAATCTCTTCCCTTTTTAATATTGTTATAGTTACCAAGTTTCTGCAGTCAGAAATGTTTCTAAGAAGATAAAACAGCACATATCCCAGCACTCAGGAGGCTGAGGCTGGAGGATCACCACAAGTTCAAGGCCAGCCTGGACTACATAGTGAGACCTTGTCTCAAAAAAAAAAAAAAAAGAGAAAGAAAAAGGATAAAACCATGTCATACTTAAAAATCTTCCCATCCTAGAATGTCTGAAGAAATATTACCACACTTTTAAATCAACACATAAATATGTACACACACATCTACATTATCCAGTCAGGTAGTTATATAGTACCTTGGTAGCCAAGGAGTTGGTATTTGTTGAGGTACATAAATGACAATAGGAATGCTAAGGATTTTTTTTTAATGTTTTAAATAACTGAAAGAAAAAAATTTATTCCCATTTAAGGAAATGTTTTACTAATAAACATAACTTCAAGGAATATAACCTATGACTATTTATTCTATTCTAGAAATTCTTATCAGAGGGATCTCCTAATTTATCTAACACTGAAAACTAGCCGGGTGTGCTGGCATACACCTGTAATCCCACCACTCACGTGGGAGGCTGAGGCAGGAGGATCGCCATGTAGCCTGGGCTACATAGTGAGTTCAAGGCCAGCCTGGACTACATAGCAAGATCCTGTCTCAAAAAAAAAAATGTAGCCGAGGATTTAGCTCAGTGGTTTTGCCACCTGCTGTGCAAGCACAAGGACTCCAGTTCTCATCCCTGATACCAAGAAAAAAAAGTATAGGGCTGGGGATTTAGCTCAGTGGTTCTGCCGCCTGCCTTATAAATATATATATATATAAAATATACATAACTGAAAACTAAAGGGGAAAAAATTCTCCTTGAATATTTAAAAAAAATTTCCTAACTGCTTCATCCTAATTTGAGATTGCACTCAAAGAAGAAATGCTAACAAAATTCTGTGATGAAACGGGCATTTTTCTATTGTTACAATGGTGAACTGACACAATGTTAAGAATGCACAGACTGCCTGGGATTTAGCTCAGTGATTCCGCCACCTGCCTCACAAATGCAAAGTCCCAAGTTTGATCCCCGGTACCAAAGGAAAAATAAAAGAATGCACAGACTGATGGTTCCTCAACCTAAGCAAAAAATATTTTAAGTAAAAAAACGTATTTCATATAGCTAACCAACAAGTCACAGACCAGCAACACAGTGCAGATGGACCCTGATTCACGGAGGTTCAGTATACAGTTCACCGTGGTGTAAAAGTGATGTGTATTTGGGTGAAACTATACTTAACATTCCCAATTCTGATCTTTTCCTGAGCTAACTTTATGCTGTGCAATAACTCTCTGGAAGTGCCTACACCATGACGATACAGCATAACTGATGCTCTACAATGTACTGCTGCTAAACTATATGGTAGGTTAGAGGTATTAAATGACTTTTTGGTCCATATTTGTGTGTACTGGAGATTGAACCCAGGCCTTCATGCTGAGTTACATTTTCAGTGCTTTTAAAAATTTTGAGACAACAAGGACCTGAGTTCAGTCCCCGGTACCAAAAAAAAAAAAAAAAAATTTTGAGACAACATCTTCTTAAGTTGTTAAATCACACAGGCTAGGCTCAAACTTTCGATCCTCTTGCCTCAGCCCTCCAGAGGGTTGGCATTACAGGTGTGCACTTCCACACCTAGTAATTAAATGCTTTGGGGACTAAACCACTGAAACATGCCCCCCAAACCCTATGTGAATTATGCACTCAATGATACTTTCAACTTATGATGCGTTTATCTGGGTGTGACCTTACCCCAAGTCGAGAAGCCCACCTGCAGAGTGTAGGCCGCTTACCCTGGTTATTGTAGGCCTAACAAGGGCTCGGGCTCACTGGCACTGCCCAGCATCTCAAGAGTATAACACTGCTTATCACCAGGCTGAAAAGGAAACTTAAAAGTCAAAGCACAGTTTCTGCTGTATGTGTATGGCTTCCATACCATTGTAAAGTTGGAAAATCATAAGCCAGAGACTGTCTGTATACATACGCTGGTGTACAATTAGGGAAAAATCAGAAACTCTTGGTTTATTTATTTCAATCTCATTTTCTCCCAACATTATCCTACATATGGACCAAGCGCCATTCACTCACTCATTCATTCATTCATTTGGCAAATACCCACTGGCAGATGCTCCTCAGGCCAGGTGGTAATCCAGCACTGGATATAGGAGTATGTAAGACAGGACAACCCTCCTGAAGAAATAAGAGTTTACACATCCCAATATAGAACCCAAGTCCTCACTAACATGTTCACACTTGATCACAGTTCAGTTCCTTTCTAGCCAAACATATATCCACCTTATACACTAAAACATAAGGAACACAGTTTAAAGTTTCACTTTATGTCATGTAATACTTCAAAACATAGTAAGTGGTCATTAAAACCTTTAAATTACACTGAATATAATTCCTGGTACCATAACTTCAAATAGCCCTTGCTAACTGTACTTGTGACATCGAGACTGTACGTCACTGATATACATTTATTACTAAAATACAGAGCAATGAATGCAAGAACAAATCTCAACACTCTCTGACTGCCTCGATTCTAATACAGGGGCCTTCAACTGTCTGCAGGGGATATGTTCCAAGATCCCCAGTGGATGCCTGAAACCAAGGATAATTCCAAATGAACCCTAGATATGCTTTTTCCCATGCTATACCTAAGTATCTATGATATGGTTTAATTTATAAATAGGAACAGTAAGAGAATAACAATAATAAAAACAGAATCGTCACAATGTACTAGCTAATAAAAGTCACGTGGTCTCTCAAACATGTTAGCGCACTGAACTTACACTTCTTCTCCCCGTGGTGCTGTGGGTGACAATGCCTAGTGAGTAAGGGATGGAGGCACTGTGAGTGTTTGGTTGTGACTTAAGGTCACCTGAATGTGAGCACTGTTAACACTAAGATGACTGGCCTGTAACAAGAGGGTGCATCTACCATGTGGTACACTGGAGAGAGACAGCTCATGACTCGAGTAGGATGAACAGGAAAGTGCAAGACTTCTTCACACCACCTAGAGTGGCATGCAATTTAAAACTTCTGAATTCCTTACTTCAGGAATCTTCCATTTAACATTCTGGACTACAGCTGACCCATGTAAAGCCACAGAAAGTAAAACCATGGTTAAGAGACTACTGTAGCTGAATTCACACTGATCATAAACCATGATGATCCCCTCCCCAGCCAATCAGCATTTACTAACTCTTACCTGAATTCAGACTCATTCTAAACAGTCTTCACTGTCCAGCTACCATTTACTAAGCCTCTAAGCCTGAATAGGAGATCTGAGCCAATTATAACATGCCAGCACGACAGGACCATCTAGGTTATTAAATAAGACCCGGTGTGTCAGTCACTTTTCTTGTTGCTGAGACAAAATACCTGACACCCAAAGTTAGAAGAGGAAAGGTTTATTTCAGCTCACAGTTTGTATCAGTTTCAGTCCATAGTCAGCTGGCTCCAAGGCCGGGTGGCATGGCAGAGGGGGACTGCAGGAGAAACAGCTTGTGGCGGGCAGAATGTGACAAAATAGCATAGCAGCAGCAGCTTTTATCCCTTCCAGGCTACCTGCCTTTTGGGCGGTGTCAACCACACTCAGGGTGGGTCCTCCCATCATTCACACCCACAGTTATGTTAAACCAATCAGTGGACTAATTCAGTAATCAAGCACTCTTAATCCTAGCACCACACACTTAATCCCAGCATCACTACCTTAATCCAGCCCCCTCCCAAAAGCTCCACCTACAACTGCAGGAGGCTTTGGGAGGACATCTAGACACAAACCCTAACACCTGGCTAACATTCCTTACAAAGATCCTTCCCAATCCCATTCTCTCCAGATATAGGCCACAGGCAGAGAAGCCCAAAGCAACCAAAGCTTTTGGCAGAAAGAGAAAAACCCGGTTCCTCTTTAGTTTCACGTATGTATCAGTCTGCAGTGACATCAGCAGTCATTTCAGAAATCAGAACAATGGGTGGCAAGGAAACCTGTGCTTCCACCATCTAGGAGTTATTCTTGTTCTTCAGTAAACAGCACTGAAGCTTCAGTACAAACAGGTACTCACTGTTCATAAGCCATGAATTTACTATGAAAACAGCACTATTTGTAGACAGCTAATACAATAATTCTAAATGTTGTTTAGTTCTGCTTTTACATTTGGGTCTTTACTAACATCATAACATAGTTTTGCATACAAAGGCAGTATTAAGAAGCCTTGACTTCTTTTTTCATACACATGCTTGTTAGAAACCATATTGAACTGTTTTCTCATTTGAACCCATTGGCCAGAAATGGCACATACTGTATTTGTAATATGACTGTAAAGAAGGTAGAATGCAGGCTGTGGTCTTAAAACAGAATTTGCAGGTCTATATGAAGTTCAAACGTAAGACAAAGGTTCCAAAAAATACTATGTACATGTTCATAAATACTATAAAAGTACATAAATACTATGTACTATGTTCCATCTGCTTATACAGCACACATTTCCACATTATGACTGACC